TTTTTAGATTTTTTTTCTATAGAGTTATCATGACCTCGCAACTCAGATTGTGTGTTTAGGATGCTAACTTGGATTAACTCTAGTTATTTTTTTTAATTTTTATCTTTTAATATTGAATTTTTAAAAAATTAAACTTTATAAAAAAAAATTCTATTAGACAAACATTCTTTTTGCATAGGTTATGTTGTTCCCTTTTTATTTTTTTAATTTAATCTATTTTATATCGCTGTTTTTTTATTATATAATTAGATAAAATTATGTTATTAGATCCAGTCGGGGTCTATAATTTAAGTTATAATTTTTTGATGTTTTTTATATTAAAGAATTGGTCTTATTCTAGATGTATTACAGGCCTCCTATCATTCAAATTATTGCTAGGAAGATCATGAAATCTAAACTAGATGTGAATCCGAGAGATAAACAGAAACGATGAACAAACCTCGTATTATAGTTCTTCACATACAAAGATAACTTGAACCCTCGTTTGAATATATTTTTTGTCCCACTTTATCAAAATGACACTTAGAGCGCTATTTGGATAACTTAAACTTTTGGAAACCCTTTCTGTAAATTATTACCGGAAGAGTACTGACAACAATGTAATGCACTTATCTTCAACAAACTCATATATATATATATAGATAGACACACACACACCTCCAGCCAGTAGGATCCAAAACTAACTTGAAGGCTTTGCACTATTTTGAAATGCGATTTACAATAAGTATAAGAGGATTTACATAATTAATTTGGGAAACGTGGTCAAGTAGGTGAGAGTTCAACCTATCAAAAAGCTCTATATTTTGTGGGATTATTCTAATGTGATTTGCATTGCTTTAATATCTATATTAGTGATAGTGTTGATTGGTTTATTACAGCAAATGTGTTTTTATGTGGTTTCTGTAATGTAACAAATTAATGCATCTTATTTGCTGTATTATTGATTTCAATAAATCTGTTTTTTTTTTATATATATCATCAGCTTTTATTCAAAATCAGCAAAAATATTCTTGTCGTGGCCCCAATAAAAGCTACGTGCGTGGCCCCAACAAAAGCTACGTGCACATAACGTATTCAATTTTGATTGAAATTTAATGTGTAAAACTAGCATGACAAGGAAATAACACCATCGCCATGCCACCATATCAAGATCTCGTCTTTAATTGCGGCTTCTTGATCGATCAACGGTCAAATCAGCTCTATTGCTTGATTAGTCAATGAGCGTTAATTTAGTGATAATTGCTTGTGCAGTTTGTGTCTAAACTCAACTAAAGTAATTAGTAATTATATTTATTTGTTGAAAAAGTTTGTAATTAGTAATTATATTTATTTGTTGAATGCGCACATGAACAAGAATCAGTCGAGACTAGAATTTAGCTCAATATAATTATATACACATGCATCGTGAAATTTGCCACTTGCTAAACAAGGTATGGGCAAGTTTCCCTAGATTTGTCTACCACACCGTTTTCATGCTAATACGAAGGTTTTAATTCCTACTTTTCTTTAATTCCTACTTTTCTCTTTTAAAATTCCAATCTAAAATTATTTAATTCCTACTTTTCTCTTTTACAATTCCAATCTAAAATGAGAATAAAATAAAGCAAGTTTATTAATCACCCAAGTTAAGTTGCTAAACGCAAGTTATTTATGGAAGAACAATGGGTCTCCAAAGTTTATAAAATTTCACCAGCTACTTAGTATTTTTTTAATACTGATACACGATCTTTCCAAAACATGTAGTTGTTTTCCCTTGAGCCAGCCCCCCTAAAGAATTCTATTTCCTATTGTGATATTTATATCGTCGACAACAATGACGACGACGACAATGACGACGGCGACTGCTTCCCAATACATATTTCAATTTTAAGTTCTTAACTCAGAGCACAGAATTCCGAGTTTCGTTGATTTTCTCTCACTCGTTAGCCAGACTTCAACATTCATTGAACGTTTTTTTTTTTGAACTAGCCAGACTTCAACATGCAACCTCGTCAACTTCCAACATAGGAAAAATCCCAAATCTTTTAGTATATTTTATAATTAAATGTGTACACATTGATTTGAAAAGTATTTTTCAGTTTTTCCATGTAAATATAAAAAGTGGACACATCCTACTGCTTAAAACTAGTCATAGTAACTCCAAATAGGGTTTCAAGAAGCTGAGGGCTGTAGTATCTTGTCATTTTTTTATTTCCAGTTTTTATAGAAAAAATATTTTAGAAGATTTAATGCATTTATTAACTGAGTTTGAAAATTGTTTTTTTAGAAATGTGTGTCGTCTAATTCTTCAGTTTTCTAGGAAACGGGAAGATATCAAAATAGTTGGTTTTCTCTCTATAAAAATAACTCTTAATTAGTTCACCTGATATTTTATGGTCATTCCTTTTATAATTTTCAATTTAAATCAAACGAGTCCCTTGTTCTTTATTTAAAATGAAATAAATATAATAAACATGTTTTCTTAGTTCTACATTAAAAAAATCCTTAAATTTAAGATAAATAGGAATACTAGAGATGGAAAAAAAAACTAATTTATGAAAGTAAACAAAACATTAATCTCTCACTTGACTTCTAGAATTACAGCATTCAAGAAGATTTATTTTCCGGCAAGTCCTAAAACACTTAAAGAATGAATTTGATATTTTCTTATATGTATATTGATACGAGATGCCAGTTATAAGAGAAAAGAAAGAAATAGCATTTAATTCCAGTTCTTGGGCCACAAAAAACATCTTTTTCTTTTTTTTCAGACACTCGTCTGATTGCTTGCGTCCCATGCCAAACTCAAATCTTGCTATTGGTTGCGCAACCAGTGCCCACGGTGGAGCGACCACAGTTGATTCAAGTCGCATGTTGATGAATAAAATTTATGATAAAATCAAAACGTTTTTCGGAATGGGTGTGCAATACATGTTAGGCGTTATGCGGCCCAACTCACTGTGTTAGGAAAGTTCTTTGGAGTGTGTGCGCGCGTGCTTGTTTATTTGTCAAATAATTTTTCCAATAGCCTTCCATGAACTGACAGATGGCGATTGGTAAATAATCAGGAAGTCTATACAGGCAGCAAGCCAACCTGGGAGCTGAAGACTCTTGACTCAAGACTTTAGGCTAAAGCACACGGATATCATGAACAATTTAATGAGCAGACATGCCATGAGAGGATGACATTTCCAGGCTTTAGGCTATTTCAATGAACAGTGAAGATTAGTGAAGCTTCATGACAAAAAACTATTTAAGCGATATTCGAATCAGGAAACGAGGACAACGTAAATCTGAAAAGAGCAGCTTGGACTTCTTCCCTCTCTGCAAGCAAGCCCTTGATAAGCTTGGAAAACGAGATTTTCCGACAAGACCCCATCAGTTTTTAGCTAAAGGGCCTCCCAAGTTCATTTATATACACGAAAACATGATATGATCGAGTGGCGAGTGAATGATGATGATGGGAGAAAATTTTTGAGATGGTCTATGGAATAAAATATTATAGAATCCATGTATATATCAGCACATCTTAATTCAACTGTCAAAAAACTGACTAATGGGGGATAAATAACACAAACCATAGATCATCGACATAAAGCAAGAGTAAAGAATCCAGCTGGAAAAGACGTAAATTATAATAGAACTGTAATATCTGGCTTACTGCTGGGCACACTGCACTCGGGGCATAGGTGATTCTTCTTCATCATCATCCTCATCATATGCCTCCTGCTGCTGGCGCTGCTGCTGTTTCCGCCTTTTCTCCTCCTCAATATTGACATCATGCATAATTGTCTCTTCGCAATTATCCAACTCCATCTCTGACAAGTTTTTGCTTTGCCTTGGGGGTAATATAGTCTCTAAAGTACGGCACTGCTCAGGGGTAAGAGTCCCCGAGTCGGGGAACACCACATTAAAATGGATATAGAGCTTGCCCTTCATGAAGGGCCTGTTATGATGTGGCATTCCTTCATCATTAATTGCTTTGTATTGACCTGAATTCAGAAAAATTACTAGTGATTAATGATGAGGAACTCCGAATGATATTCAAGGAAAATACAAGCAATACCAGGTTTTAAGATCTCCCCAGGATTTGATTTAATAAGAAGTTGCCGACCATCGAGATGGGTAAGGGCAAACTGATACCCGCAAAGAGCCTCTGTTAAACTGACAGAGTGTTCCACAAAGAGATCATCCATTTTCCGTTCAAACTTGGAGTGCTCTTTCAGTTGCAATACAAAAACAATATCCCCTGTAACTGTGTCAGGCTGCAAATGACATGACAAAAAATAAGATTTTGTTTAATGTAATTGCACAAGAGAATGTCTCAAGCCCTGTCAAACGATCAGTGTTCAACTGAAAATTATATTAATGTCCAACAGCAGGAAATAAATTGAAGAACAACCCTCTCTCTTCATATGCATTTGTAAAATTAATAGTAAAGTGTTGCAACATATCAAAGTGGGCATTTAGAAAAATGATCATAAAATGTGCCCATTCTTGCACTGGGTAGCAAGAACTGAAAACAAAACCTAAAAAACACCACTTCTTGGAAATTTTTCGAACTAAAATCTTGTCCAAGTACTGCCTATTATTAAAAAAAAATATATATCCAGAAACCAGACTATCTTTTGTTCCCATCGTTCATACTTTAAAATCAAATATTGCCTTTCTATTCAGTGAGAAGTTAGAAGTTCAAGACTAGACCAAGCTAATAAATGAAGCACTTCAAAAATGCTATTTGATTTTACTTACAGCTTCATCAGCTTGACCTTCAAAAACTATCTTCTGGCCATGTCGCATTCCCCTTTCAACATGCACTTCCAGCACCCTCTTTTCCTGCGTTACCTTATTCCCTCTGCAATGAGGGCATTTATCCTTCTCACTAATTAGCTCACCTGCACCAATTATGAACGCATTTCAGAATGACAGTTAAGGCAAAAGCAAAGGGAAAGAATCTGTTTCAGTTAACGACCTGAGCCTCTGCATTCAGGACACACATGTTGCATTTGTTGGATCATGCCCAATCCAATCTGTCGGATTGAAACTTTCATTCCAGTACCTTGGCAGCCACGACATGTCCCAGAGGCTCCACTCTTTGAGCCTTTACTGAAAATGGCAGAAAATGGGGGGGATGAGGTGTGAAGAAAAATGCAGCCAATTTCATCAATGAAACTGCAACTGAAACTATTAACGAGAACTGGTTCAAAAGACTAAATAAAAAATGATCCATAACACCCTGCAAATAATATAGGGGATGAGGTGTGAAGAAAACACAGCCAATCTCATCGATGAAACTGCAAAACTAGTGAGTTCAACAGACTAAATTCAAAGTAAAAGATAATGCAGACCCTCCAACATGCACACACACTACAAAAAAAAAAAAAAAAAAGTGGCCATAGATGCACAAACACATTTCAAGAAAACTAATAAGTTATATGATAAAAGGACACACCCTTTACATTTGGCACACAAAATGTTTCTAGAAAGAGAGAGTTTCTTGGAAGTTCCATTGTACAAATCCTCCAAGGAAACCTTCAGAGGGTGCACTACATCTTCACCTTGCTTCTGCCTTCTTCCTCTTGAGCTGCCACCACCTGCAAAGTACAGATACTTGAGAACTTTTATCTAAGATAATTAGTCAATATTAATAATAGCAAGATGCATCAAGAAGTCTCTCTGTCTCACCACCAAAACCACCTCCACCAAAAAATGATTCAAATATATCATATGGATTATGACCGTCGCTGCCACCAGGTCCCATCCCCTCCTTAAGTGCATCTTCCCCATATTGATCATAAATATCTCTTTTATCTGGATCACTAAGGACTTCATAAGCTTGAGACAACTCCTTGAACTGGTAAAAAAGACCAATAGATGAGTGTCAGAAGGCACACATAAACAGACTAGATCAATAACTCTGCTAGTGAACACCTTGACTTCCAAATTCTGCAATGATAACACTAGAAGTTGATAAACAGGCTATCATAACAAAAAATAAATCATTGTCACTGTTGTGTTTTATCTTGATGATGAAGGAAGTTCAACACCCAGATCTCTGCATGGTCTTCAACCAAATTTTTAATCTTTACATGTCAAGTGCATTTCTTGTGCACCGATCTTAAACATTCAGACTCTCCAAAAATTAAACCAATATTTTTCCACATAGTTTGGTGTAATACAAAAATAAAAGTTCTCAGGACATCCTAGAGGTGTATAACATCAGCCACCATAGCAAACAAGCACCCAGAAGATTAAAACGAAAGGAAATAAAAACCATTGCAGCACCTATTCATTTAACCAACATGACGTAATTGAAATGTCATGCCTCCAACACACCCATGCCTTGGCCAGTCAATTGCCCAGATGCAGATGTTAGAGCTTCTAGTATTTGGCTACCAAGCACAAATTGGAAATGGTTCAGAGCTGAATAGGCATCAGATATACCTTACGCAACTAATATAAAGCAGTTTTGAGAAACTACCTTTTCAGGATCTCCACCTTTATCAGGATGATTCTTTATGGCAGCTTTCCTATAAGCCTTCTTCAGTTCATCTTGACTTGCACCCTTTGACACGCCCAGAACCTCATAATATTTGTTGTTGTCACTCCTCCTTGGAGCACGCCCAAACATTATTAGAACACTTCAACAAGGCTGCTCAAAGACCAGGTCAAGTCAATAAATCAAAAAATAATCATCTACACATAAGCTTGTCCAACTCTAACCTAACATCATAAACTCTTGTATCAAAGAAGGTGGAAAAAAAAAGGCCAACCCCTCAAAACATAAATAATTGGCAGTAGTTACTCATGCACACAGAAAATACACACATGCTGCCAAAAAAGAAAAAACTTCTAGATCGGATAACAGTAACGGAATAACTATCCAGAAATTTTGTCAATGGACATAATAGAGTATCTCAGAATCAAGCGATAAGAAATTAGTGATAAGATTCCATCAAAATTCAACACATTCCAAAGACTTGCATTGCCAATCTCCTCATCGCATTACAGCAAACAAATAATTTCAAATTAGCGATAAGACTTTCCTCATGCTTTAGCTATCTTGATTCAAATTTATCTAACTAATAAACAAAACTAACCAAAACTTAAAAAAAATCCCTCTTTTAGCTCAGTTTACACTGTACTGCATTCAAAATACCAATTTGTCACTGAATACAAACAATCTAACCTAAAATCAGCCAAACATAACCACTGCCAAAAATATAACAGCTTTACAGCACCATTAATCCGAAATTTAGCCATAAAACGACATCAAAAGAATTGATTATCTGAAAAGAAGGGGAAAAAAACAAACAAAGATCCAACCAGGACAGATCCAAATGATCAAAAAAGATTAAAATAAATTACCTGCTAAACGCGCGAATACGCTGTCGATTTGTCTTCTTTACAGAAAGAGGGAGGGAGGGAGGGCTTTTATAAGGTCCTTGGCTCAGTCTTTTTTCTTCTTCTTATAGCCCTGCAAAGCGCAGAGCTTTTCATTTAAATCCTCTCTCTCCCTGACGTTAAGGAAAAAAATTGTTGTTGCCAGATTTCTTTTTCTTATAATAATCACACACGTGTACTGTCGACTGTCAGCCTTAAGGGAAAGGAGTGGGGGAAGTAGTGATAAATTAATTGGAGATAGTGTTTCCTTCCTAGGATGGGAATGCTGGCACTTGAGAATATAATTTTTTGATGGTGGGTTCGGGTTTGTTTGGTCACGTGCGAGGAGGAGGCACGCGGCTCGAGAGTGCGTTATTGAGATTGTGTTAGATCGTATCCGTTGGTTGGTAAATATCGGACGGCTTCTGTTGAGTGCTTAGACTGGAATGTTGCTTGCTTGTACTAGGGGACAAGTTTTGTGTTTGTTGATCGTGGTTGACGGCTGGGAAGTAGCGGCGTCGTTTTGGTTTCATATTTGAGTCCATCTTGGCTGCTACGAGTCCATCTTGGTGCAAGTTTGTTTTTTCCGGCACAAACGGAGTTTTTTAAAAATATATTTTTTTTATTTGAATTTTTTTATTTTTTTTATTGTGTTTATGTTAAAAATAAATTTTATAAAATAAAAAAAATTATTTTAATATATTTTTAAATGAAAAATCCTTTAAAAAATTATTGTTATTATCAAACATGCAAATACTCTAGTTTTCTTGCAAAGAGACTTGTATCATTACCAAGTAAAATAAATTACCAAATAAAATAAAATACCCGGGAATCTATTGTATCAATTAAAAATATCATAAAAAATATTATTTTGATTTTTAAATTCAATTTAAAATATTATGGATCCTTTAATTATAAGTTTGTTTAGAGAGTTTGTATATAATTTATCAATAGAAATAGGTTTAAAGCCTTAAAAGATAAAAAAAAAATATAATGATGATAATCATATTTAATTGATTGAAGATTCCGAGATTTAGATTTAAATAAAAAATTAAATCATATAATATTCTTGATAATATTATAAAAAATTCATTTCTTGCTTATTTTTATGATGAAATAAATGTTAGTTACAACATGATAAAAGGGTGAATTGAACTCTTAATAATTTTTAAACCTTGATACATCAAGTGAAACATAACATAATATTTTTAATTAAAAATCATATATATGAGTTAAAAAATATAGGTGTTTTTTTTTTAATTTTGATAAAGATTGAATTCTCTAAAGCAGCCATAAATTCAAGAGTTGTCCAAGGCCTAAACAAATACAGCAGTGAGAATCAAAAGAAATCTCTAAATATAGAACTATAAGAGTACTATTATTTTAATTTACATAAAAGCTAAATAATTTAAGACATTGCGTTCACTATTTAACAAGTAAATCCAATAGTATTTCATAAAAGAAGGTTCAAAGTCAAAACTTGCACATCCTAATTTAATAATCTACCATATCAATATCTCTTAACAAATATTTAATTCATTTTCAAATTGATTAGATGATTTTTATTTATGCGAGGGGTTGTTGAAAAGAATTGTTAAAAACATGGTTGAGAAATTCTAGCCCTTAATAATATGTTTCATGTGGTTGATATTAGGATGAATTTAATATTTATATCACTATTGAGCTAAAATATTTTTAATTTAGTTTTTGAAAGTGCAAATTTATACTCTCTAAAATTGAAATGTTTATAGAACAGGGTACTTAGTGGTGATCTCTTTACAATTCATTTAATGACCATTTTAACTACAGATACATAAAATGAAAATTATAATGTCTCTTTTTTTTAGTACTTAAGTCTTACGACATGTGTTATAATAGATTAGATCATGTGAATTATAATTTTATATAAAGAATAATAAACTTTGATCTATTACCAAATATGATTTTTGCCAAAATAATTATAAGTGCGGGGTTTATGTAAAGTCAAAATTCATTAAAAAAAATTATTTTTATTTAATTGAAAAAAGCATTTAATCTCTGGGTTTAATTTATTTGAATATTGGTGAAGTAAAGTTTTAACAATCCAAATATGAAAAAAAATATTATATTACTTTTATAAATAATTACAAAAGAAAATATCATATCTATTTGTCTAAGAGCAAAAATAAAACTCTTGAAATGTTTAAACATTATAAGAATAATTTTGAAAATCAACTTAGTAAAAAAATAAAGCTAATAAGAAGTGATAAAGGTAAAAAATAGAAAGTATAATTAAGCATATTTTGTTCCTAAAATGGTGTTATCTATGAAATCACAACTTAGTATTCTCCATGATAAAATAACATTGCAGAACATAAGTAATGAATATCATGTTAATAAGTTTGGGGCATTTTAAAACTTGTAAGGGAGCAATTCTAATTCTCAATAATACATTTAACAAAGTATTTTATAAAAAAAGTTTGATAAAACATTATATGAATTATAGAAATGTAAGGGATCTTTTTGTAAATACCTCAAAATATAGTGGTATGTTACAAATATAACAATACATGATCCTAAAAAGGTACAAATAGAATATAAGATTGCGGATTGTTTATTTATTAAATATATATATATACACAATAGTAGTTCGTATTAATTTATTGTATACAATACAATAATTGAGGATATTCATTCTAATAATATTATGAAATTAAGAAATGTTAAATTTTTAAAAAATATGTGTTTATAGAAGAAATTTTTTTTTAAAAAAAATTCACTTGAGATAATGATTAAGGCTAATTCAAGTAATCATCATTAATCAAAGAATGATGAAGTTGAGTTTAGAAGGAAAAAAAATAGGTAGAAAAAACTAAAATATTTAATTTTGATTTTTAACATAATTGTTACAAAATGAGTATAGAACCTACCCCTGGGCAACGTGCAATTTGGAAACTTTTTATTGAAAAAAGTAGTTAATAACAAAATTGAATCTATTATAAATAATCATACATGAAAACTAGTAGATTTTCCTTTCAAAAGTAAATTATTAGGTGAAAAATAGATCTTCAAAAGAAAGAAAAAGTGATGATATTATTAACAAATAAAGCCAAACTTGTTGTTAATTGTTTTAGATAATAAAAATATATGAACTATTTTGACATATATTCACATGTCTTAATAATAATTTATACACAAGTGTTAATAGATATTGTAGCTTGAAATATATTAAAATACAGTAAAAACAACTTTCTTAAATAATAACATTGATGAAAAGGTTTACATGGAATAATTCAAAAGATTTGTTGTTGACAAACAAAAAAATAGTTTGTAAACTTGTAAAATAATTATATAGTTTAAAACAAATATATAAATAACGAGATGGAAAATTTGACAAGCTTTGATTACTCAATGTTTTCTCTCAAATAACATTAAAAATATCTCGACCTAATAATTAGATATATTTTTGTGTAAATTAAATTATTTGAATTTTTATTAAGTTCTTTGAATTTTTTTTAATCTAAAATCACACAATCATGATAAAATATCTCTATTTATCACTCAATTAATAGTATTTAATTCTAAAAGTTTGTAGTCATAAATTATTTTTCTATCTCATTATGATTCAATAAATCAAATAATAATTGACAAGAAAATATAAAAAATAAGATAACGAATTAACATTTAACACGAAAAAAAGTATTCATTAAACTTAGTATTGATTGATGAACAAGTTAATCTAACAATAATTATATGATATTTTTTTATATTTTAGATGTGTAATTCACGAATTATCATTTGGGAAAAGATTTACGAACCCCACAAATCTTCAAATTACAATGAAAAATATACCTAGTCATGTGATTTTTTTTTGCCAAGGAATTCATCCATCATATTATTTTCTCGAGCTCGAATTAAAAAAATAAAAAAGAAAAGAAAATTTTCATTGATATCCCAATTCAAAAATGAATTGACAAAACATTGATTTAGAATATGATATTTATCAAAAGCTCTTTTAGATATAATTCGAATACACCAGTAAATTCTCATTATTTCTTAACTATCAAAACTAAAAACAATAATATAAATTATTTTTAAAACCTAATATAATAGTTTACTTTTAAACAAAGATTCTGATATAATATAAAATAATTCTTTAATTAAGTGGTTCAATAATCTTACCTTGTATCAACCATTCTTTAAACTTGTATAATAAAAAAATTGTTAACAAAACAAGACAAATTAGGGAAAAGAACAATCATTTCCAATTGTAATTATGTAGGCCAAAATTTTCCTAATTAAATAAATAAAAATCAACTACTATATTAGAAAAGTTAGGTTTCCTTATATCTTTCACTGTTCATATGCAGAAGATGATCCTTTATTTTTTTTCTTTTTTTTTTGAATGATATCTTTCAATTTTTTTTAAAATTTTAAAATTTGATTTTTTTTAATTTTAAATTGATCATCATAATTTATTTGAATTTATTTTTTTAATAAACTTATCATAATTTGAAAAAAAAATCCTGAACTTAACTTTGAAGCCTTTATTTTTGTTATAATATCATTGAATAAAAATAATTAATTTTTTTCAAATTCAATGGAGTCCATGATTTGAGTTATAAGTTTGACGAATCAAGTTGTGAAGTCTAATTTAATCTAATATATTATTATCTTAATATTAAAGTAAAATATGTCATTTTTGATTTTTTTTTAAAATCAAATTACTTTTGAATTGTTTCCAGGCTCACGAAGTCGACTGGGTCATGCATATACAAATTAATTTTAAACTCGAATTGGGTAAGGAGTCGAGTTAGGAGATTTCAAGGTTGACCCATTAGATCAAGTTTAATAAAAATACCAAATACTTTATTATTTTAAAAATCCCATCTTCCATTTTTTTTTATTTCTTTTGATTGAATCCCTTTTGACTTTTGTTTTCTTGATATCATCATTTAATATTTGGTTGATTTTAAATTGATTTTTATAATTTGTTTCAGTTTGTTTTTTATCAAATAAATATTATGTATTTGGTCGACACTCAATTTTGAGAAATTTTTTTTTTGTTATGCTATCATTAAATAAAAAATAACTTTTAAAAAATAAAGTTATTAAATCCAATAAAATCCATGATTCAAATTGTGGATTTGACATATTAAATAGCAAAGCCCAAATCAATCTAATATATCATTTTCTCAATAAAAAAATATTATATCGAAAATTTTAAAGTCAAACCATATCTTTTACCGGTCGTTTGTATTGTCTTAAATCCATTAAGTTGACTAAATCACATTAAAATAATTTATATAATAATTAATTTAAAAACCCATGCCAAATAAAATATCATATTAAAAGAATTCAAGATTGACCTATTGAGTAAGATTCAATGTGTCAAATATTTTTTTATAATCTAAACATTTTTTTAAAAATATTTTTTTGATAGTAACAAAAACCATTAGCCAAGAAACTAGTTATATTTATACTAAAAGGAAATGGTTTTAGAAATTATATAATTGAATTTTTTTTATTGTTTTTTACTATATAGGTGGTAAATATATAGTTTTTAGATTTTTTTAATATTTATAGATAACAAGTTTTTCTTATATTTTTTTCTCTTTATACTTGACTTTTTTATAATTTTTTTTCTCTTACCTTCCTTTTTATAATATTTTTCTACCTTTTCCTTTATTTATTTATATTTTTTTCAAAAAAATTATTTTTTATTTTTTACACTTTGAATATTTATCGCTTAGTCTATTTATATTATTTCTTTTGTTCTTATTTTCATTATTTTATAATTTATTTTTTATTTTTCTCTTTACATTTTTTTTGAAAAAATATTATATAAAGACTAAGAAAATGATGTTTTAATAATCTAACAATTATAATATTTATTATTTTTTTACTATACTAAAAATAAGTTTGGAATCTTATATATTTTTATTAATATATATGATCTTTATTATATTTTATTATATATAAACATTAATTTTTTAATTTGTGGTTTTATTTTTATATTGCTATTAAAAACACATTAATAATATACATATTAATTTATTTGTGTTAGAAAAAAATTATTGCAGCGCGATAAGTTAAAGAGACATATTAATATTTCTTGTGTTTATTAATAATTCTTAAGTTATTTAATTAAATATATGTATAAATTTTTTTATTTTATAATTAAAATTTCTATTGTAAAAACACAATTTAAAAAACTTGTATATTTCTATTTATTAAAAAAAAAATTCTAGCCGCAGCAAAACACGGATCGTGAAAGTAACAAAATGGAAGTGCTCTTCAGCAGCGAAACACACCTGAAAAAACTCTCGTCCCTTCCTCTCCCTCTCCCTCGCAAACATGGACGCTCCCTCACCAGAAAATAACACCATCAACGATTCTATACACCTGCAAAACGTTGTCGTAATGAGACACGGTGACCGGATAGACAGCCTCGAACCGTTATGGGTCACAACAGCCTCTAGACCGTGGGATCCACCACTCGTGGAAGCGGGTCGGATCAGAGCTTTTTGTACTGGTCGGAAACTTAAAACGGATCTTGGGTTCCCTATCCACCGGGTCTTTGTTTCTCCTTTCCTACGCTGTATCCAGACCGCCTCCGAGGTTGTCTCTGCCCTCTGCACCGTCGACGATGGTCCTGACGTTGTTAGTAGTCGCGGTGTCACCATCGATTCCTCTAAACTCAAGGTGAGTGGTTTATTTTCCTTATTTCCTTTTCTTTTTATAATAAGCGTCCTTTTAAATTAGAGATTACAAAGAAATGATTGGGCATATAAGATTGATCTGCGGTGATCATGATTTTTAAGTATATTTGCTCAGATTTAATCGAGATCAAGTATTTTATATATATATAATTTTTAACGTGCTCAATTCGTATCCTCGGATCAGCTTTCTTGAATTGAAACTAATTCCGTGTCCGGTCGGGTTTTAGTTAAAATCAATGAAACAGTTACCAATGTATATGATAAGCACAATGAAACGAACTAAGATAAATCTATATAAAATGTTCATGGAATCGATAACGGCTTTGATTAAATTTTGTTGGGATTTTTATTTTTATTTTCTGGAAGTTCTTCTCAAATGAATATTTCCTCATTTGGAGTTCTATATCATGTTAGTCAGTGTTATTGTATCATTGATTGTAGTTATTTTGGTGTTGTTGTTTTAATGGATCTCTATTTGTTTGAAAGCTTTTTCGTTTTGACTGTTTATAGTACATTTTCAGGTCTCTATCGAGTATGGTTTGTGTGAGATGCTGAATAGGGAAGCCATCGGAAGTGATTGTGCGCCCAAAGACGGCAACTTTGGGTTCAATATCTCTGAGCTTGAAGCTATGCTACCAACTGGGACAGTGGATCATGCTGTGAAACCAGTGTATGAAGAGGTTAGTATAGTGGAAGGGTTATAAGATCACGCCTACATGTCACTTCTAGTGTCTAATAATGGCTATTTTCTTGAGAAATTGTAGCTGCCGCAATGGGAAGAGACGGTGATGGGTGCAAGGACTAGATATGAACAAATCATTAAGGCGCTTGCGGATAAATACCCTTCAGAAAACTTGCTGCTTGTCACACATGGTAAGATCAGTATTTGGTTGGACTAGTTTTAATTTTAATTCTCTTCTGATTTTATCAACTCTGTGTTTTGGATTATGATCATAACATGTCTCTTTATGGTAGGAAATGCATGAAATAAGGTTTTACACTCTCTATGTGCTTCATAAGCTGTTCTGATTTAAGTTTAACCGCTTGTAAATTCAGGGGAAGGAGTTGGAGTTTCAGTTTCTGCATTTTTGAAAGACATATCAGTTTATGACGTAGAGTACTGTGCATATTCACAACTAAGAAGATCTGTTGTCCACGAAAAGAAGTCATTTACTGCTGGAGAGTTTGAGGTGCTCACTCAAAATGGTCAATCTGGCATCAGTTACTGTTCTGCAAACCCTATGGCCAGTGGCGCCATGTATGATGAAATGTGACCTTTTTTTGTTTATTGCGAGAAACCATTTTAAACATTTCTTCTGTCAACCTTTGGGGGCTGCCTTAAGCGCACTTGCTTGTGTTTCTAGGAGAACTGCTATGATCAAAGGGATTCTTAATTTAGGGCTAATTGATTGTAAAGGTCAATTAGATACCATTGTTCCATCAGGGAATTGAGCTGTTATCGCTTTCATTGCAAACAACATAAAAGAGGTAATTAGGGAAACTTTCTTTGGGTTTTGGTGTGGTTAAATGTTACCCTGAACGTTATAAATGAATCTTGATTGAGCTCCCTTTCTGTAGAAAATGGTGAATTCCTTGTTTAGATGGTTTTCTTTTGTTTGAGAAATTACCATAGGGTAGGATGAATTTGGACGTGTTCGTCTTCATGATATCTTTTAATGTACAGGTGATGCTAGGGGTTTATCCTGCGCAATTTTACAAGAAAGATGGAGTTTGCATGGCTTGAAGCTGTTTAATCTCTTTGAAACATTGCTTTCAATCGTCATAGGAAAAAAAAATGGGGTTATTCTACATGCCAAGATCAGCCCACAACACCACAAACTTGCCATTAGTCGGATGTTGATGCTGGTATAACTGAGTGAAAGCGAGTGAAAGACACAAGGTGATGCTCTGCCCCGCGAGGCAATACCTGCACTTCACCTCAGGATCCGTGAATCAGTGAACAGCCAATAAATAAATAAAATAAATGAACAAGTAAAATGACCAAGATACTAAAACTAAGCACAGATGGGCTGGAATTTCATGATTAGCAGCCATTTTCATCTGTATAAATGTGTGTGTGTGAGAGAGATCACACATATAGTTCCGAAGGTTAGTGCAAAGAATAGAAGTCAATTGAACAACAATCTCGAGATAGACATGCCAAATTTTTCGCCCAGAGAAACTATTCAAGAGGTCATCCTTCTACACCCTCATAAAAACAGCCTTGTGTGATCAATCCTTCACCACTCTGAAGGACTTGGAAGCGGTTCAATATGATCAAACATGTCTGATGGAAACTCATCGAAGAGGGTATCTGGGGTCCCATGATTCTTCACATCCGTTGCACTATTCATACAACTTGATACTGGATCAAACAATGGAGGCCCAAGTGAAATTTGTGCTGCATCTCCAAGTTCAGGAGCATCTGCGGTTCCAAGCACATTCAGAAAGTAAGGGTCATCCAGCCTAGCCAGGAGCTCATGGCTTTCTGGTGAGAATAAAAGGCCTGGTCGGGGCTGTGGGATCTGAGGGAAGGGAATCGTTGACAGGGGCTCATACTGACCAAGATTTGCAAAACCGTCTGGAAAATCAGTCTTAACCAGAGACGGTAATGGCATCATTCTTATCTGTTCGAGGTTATCCAAGTAGGATGATGAACAAGCCTTCGAGGATGGCTCTTCCTCCATTGAAGAACTGAACATTGGAGCCTTTACACAAGATAAACAAAGGGGAAACAGTAAATTATCCTTCCATAGCTGGTGAAAAACTTACAGACAAGACTCTTCGTAGAGTCAATCAATCAAATACTATCAAAAGTCCTCGACAAAGACCAGACAAGAACCGTTCTTTCTTTTTGCAGCAACTAAAAAATCCCAAAATTTTCTATGAAATCAAGTGGGACAAAAGTTTCCAATTACCTCCAAAGTGGGAACATCTTGAAAGACGGGAACTTCATTTTTACTCTTCTGTGGCTTGGAATTAGAAGTGGAAGGTGTTCCTGAAGTCTGCAAAATCCTAGCCAGCCTCTTCTGTCTGCTACTCCAGAAATTCTTCACGTCATTATCAGTCCTTCCAGACAAATAAGTGGCGATTCTAGCCCATTTGTTCCCAAATTCTGCCTGCAAGTCTATCACCACCCTCTCTTCCTCTGCTGAAAACTTGCACCCACTATAAAACCACACACACAGACACAAGACAGACACAAAAATCAAGGAAATAAAAATACCACCACTGCCCATTTCTGGACAATCAACCATTGCTACAATGGACTATCAAGAAAGAGAATCTAAAACATCCCAGAATCAAAATATTTATAATTCATCACTAACATGCATGTGATTAAAATTGCAAACAAGCTCAAAATGAAATTGATTTAAGTGTAGTTCAAAAGGGTGGAGTTACTTACTGTTTCAAGTTGGGTCTAAGCTTATTAACCCAACGAAGACGACAAGATTTGCCAGTTCGTTGTAAAAGGCCTTTGGACCGAATAGAGCTCCAATCTCTCGGACCATATTTTTTAACATGCATAATCAGTACTTCATCTTCTTCTGCTTTCCATGGCCCTTTCCTTATTTCTTCCTTCTTAAATCCTTCCATTTTCCGGAAACTAGGCATTTGCTTCTCTTCTTCCTCCGTGTCTTTGTGTTTTGATGTTGCTGTTGCTGCTTGTTCTCCGCGACAGAGAAGTTCAGGGTTCCCAGTTCTATGATGTTTTTGAAGATGAGAAAGAAATGTTTTTTCTTTTCTTTATTTTTGTATGTTTTGGGGAAGTGGCAGTTAAGGCGGTTATTGCCACTACCCTCCACCAATACGCCCACATTCTCCCATTTTCTCTCTAGTTCAAATTGGTAATGAAGTTACCTTTATGTCCCTGCTTCTTTGTAGCCTTTGGGTCCAGATTTAGTTTGGGTTTTAGGCCCTTTCTTGTAAACTGGGTTTTTTGCCCTTTTGTTCTGGGAATTATGCAGCCTAATTAAAATTCCTTTTCATATATTAATTTAAATTGGGCAAATAAAGAGATTGGGAGAAACATGGCTCTTATATATATATATATATATATATAAATATCAAACTTCTTATCTTTTAAGGTGATAGTTTAGATGGTAAATGGTTTTGCTCTCCACTTTCTCATCTCAAATTCAAATGATGTATGAAAGGAGATTTACGAGAGAGGTTCACTGCAGGTGTAAATGGTTTCTTGAAAAACTTACCAAGAAAGCATTAAATCTCAATTTGCTAAAGCTGGATTGACAAAACCCTAACTGATGGAATAGGTTTATCGGTCACTTTGTATGTCGATAAATTAATTTGAGTTTATTTTAAAATAATATTGTTTTAATTAAAAAAAACACAAACAAGATCACTTTGGACAAAATTAAATTAAATTAAAATAAAATAACTTCTTTTTATATATATATTTTTAAAGTCTTTCAATTAACCCGACCAAGTCTTATTTGAATTTAAATGAGTTCATTAGAACGTGAATTGATCACTGGTTCACCAAAATTTAACTAAATAAACTTTAAAAATGATTTAAATCAAAAGTTAGTTAAAACCAAATACTAATTCAACATGTCAGCATGATAATTTGGGTTGAATTTAATTGTTGTCATCATCATAACTTCAAAGAGGTAAAACTAAAAAACTTTTTAAGGGAAATGGAAAAGGAATGGATAAGAGTTAACTTATTGATTAAAATTATAATGATATTTATAAAATTAAAGATAATTATATTATTTCATAATTTCTTCATCTAAATTTAATTTAGTTTATGATATCTGAAGTTATAGGTAGGTTGAACGAGTTACTCTTAATTAATTTATTTTAAAATTTTTAAAAGTTAAAAAAATTATATTTTGAATTTTTTTTAAATCAAATTAAATTTTAACTAAATCAGTGATTAACATCATTATGTTAATTTCAAATTAACTTTTATTAAAATATAATCTAAACTAAGAAGACTGGATCTCAAGCCGATTAACATTAGTGAAGAGAGGTTTTATAATAATGCTCTTCAAAACAGAAGCGAAGGACCTCTGTGTATAACTTTTATCCATAGAATCCTTTTGACAAATCAAAGAATCATAAAAATAAAATTAAGTTTTTAATACAATATATCAAAATAATCTGAAAAAATATATAAAAAAATTATGAAATATAAATTGTATCACAATTCCAAGAACCTGAGACAAGGAAATTATAGATTCCAATATAACGAGTATAATAAGATTCGAAATTTTCACTTCCACTTGCTTTCCAAAAACATCACCTAGCGCACCATGCACAGGCAGACAACTAGTTGAGTTTCTTCTCACTTCCTCCTCGTAAACTCTTACAAGCATATACTCTACCTTCAGGTAATTGTTCGTTGCTAAAAACAAAATTTTACAATGACTATGAATCGAAGGTTGCTTCTAAAAATGTTAAATTCTCTCACCAGGTAAATTATCATAATGTCACAGAATTGCCTTTCAGTATACGTACAAATACAAAGGAAAAAAAATGCGAGAAAACTGATAACACAGACCAGCAAGTGCTTGCCGTCACCAGCTGCATCACAAGCAGCTTCATGGCCCTCATCAGAGACTGGACTTTCCACCAAGCCATCAGCAATCTGAGCCAGTTCCCTCAAAATTGATATCGTTTACAGTAACCAACTGGCTGGTAGTGCCAATCTAATTATCACTTTTTCCATTTGCAACACACTTTTGATGTGTACGTCTAGTAAAAACCAATTTACCACTCAAGGATGGCTTCTTACAAGAACCAGCTCCTTCGATTTCGACCTTACCAGAAGGTTGTTCTTCAATGCGCACCCTGCTACTGATGGGGAACTCGGCAACTATTCTGAGTTCAAGCTGTCAACTGCTTTAGCATCATGAAAAAGATTTGAATTACTTATTTTGTTGTCACAAACGCTATTTAATGGCTTGTCATCACAGAGGTGGCTCTCAGACTTGCTTTGTGCTTCCACCCTCACTTTTTGGTTTCATCACTTCATCATCTGTTGTTCCCGTCGAAGTTTGAATTCTATCAATCATTTGTGAGTCAGAAGCCTTGTCAGTACTTGCATCTGCTGTGTTACTAATTACTGACGGCTTAGGATCCTTGTTGCAAGCAATATTTTGGTTAGTCACTGCACATTGCTTCATGGACCCCTTCACTGATGGCAGGGGCGGAGGTAGGTTAATTTTACAGGGGAGGCCAAAATTAATATGTATATATATATTATTAAAAAACTTATTTATTTAAATTAAAAATATTAAATAATAGAAAATTTTAAAATTTTTTGCAGGGGCCCGGGCCCCTGCTTGCCACCCCCTGGTTCCGCTGCTGACTGATGGAGGGATGTTGATGGATGATGGTTCTGTTAGGATGCTGGCATGCAAACCCGACAAGACAAAAGGTAAGGGACAAGATAAAATGAGAAATGACACACAAGAATTTACGTGGTTCACCCAATTTGGCTACGTCCACGGGCAAGTATAGAAGAATTTTACTAAGTAATGTGGGAATACAACTTCTCTCTAATAATAGGAGAACAACAAAAATCTCTCTATTATTAGGAGAAAACACCTCACTTACTATCTCACAAATACCTCACAATTTTGTGGGATTACTCTCTTCTCACCCTCTCTTCTTTCTCTCTTATGGTGTGTCGATAATGCTTGGATGCATTGCCTATTTATAGGCAAACATCCATGCAAAAGACAAGGGCAAGGTAGGTGGCACCAAATTTATGCCTAACATTGTTGACAAATTGGTGCCTAACATTGTTGACAAACATTGTTGATTTTGTCAACAATGTTAGGGTGATTTCACATTCTCCCACTTGAAGACTTTGATGAGTTAATCAAGTCTTCACACTTGATTATCTGTGCTTCTTCTATCCTTTCTATACTTGCAATCTTCATGCTGCTTACGTTTCTGCTAGGCCGTAAGAGGATCTGCACCATATATACTTATCAGTGTTAACCGGTTTTGTTGAAGCATCTGCTGGGTTTTCCTTTGTGTGAATCTTCTGAAAATCCACATTTTCATCTTCCACCATTTCGCGAACAAAGTGATACTGAACATCTATGTGTTTTGTTCTTGAATGAAATGCTGGATACCTTGCAATATGCAAGGCACTTTGACTATCACAATACAAAAGAATATTCTCTTGTTTGTGCCCAAGCTCCTCCATAAGTTTCTTCATCCATATTGCTTCTTTACAAGCTTGTGTAGCTGCCATATACTCAGCTTCTATTGTGGATAACGCTACAACAGTCTGAAGTTTAGAAACCCAACTCACAGCTCCTCCTGCAATTATGAACACATAGCCTGTAGTGGACTTCCTTTTCTCAAGGTCACCAGCAAAATCTGAATCAACATAATCTCTGATAGTAAATTCTGATCCTCCATAACATAATGCAGCATCTGAGGTACCCTTGATGTATCTCAAGATCCTCTTAATAGTATTCCAATGCTCTCTACCAGGATTTGCCATGTATCGACTAACTGCTCCCACTGCTTGTGCAATGTCTGGTCTTGTACATATCATGGCAAACATTAAACTTCCCACTGCTGATGCATACGGTACTCGAGACATCTCCATCCTCTCTGCTTCATTGCTAGGAGACATACTTGAGGATAATTTGAAGTTAATAGGAAGTGGGGTGGAAATTGGCTTACAATCTTGCATGTTGAAGCGTCGCAAGATCTTCTTCAAATAATTCTTTTGAGAAAGCCAAATCTTCCTCTTACTTCTGTCTCGGTAAATTTGCATCCCTAGAATCTTGTTTGCTGGTCCCAAGTCCTTCATATCAAATTCCCTAGCCAACTGTGCCTTCAATTCTTGGACTCGATCTTTGTTGGGGCCTATCACCAACATGTCATCCACGTACAACAACAAAATAATGAAATCTTCTTCAAACCTCTTGTAATACGTACAATGGTCTGAACTGAGTTTGTTGTACCCAAGGCTAATTATGAAGGAATCAAATCTCTTATACCAACACCTCGGCGCCTGTTTGAGACCGTATAGAGATTTGTTCAACCTGCAAACCAAGTTCTCCTTGTCTGTTTCAGCAAAACCCTCTGGTTGGAGCATATAAATTTCTTCTTCAAGTTCTCCATGAAGAAATGCAGTTTTCACGTCTAACTGCTCCAAGTGAAGATCAAATATAGCACACATTGCTAAGACTACTCTGATTGTCGTAAGTCGTACCACCGGAGAAAATATCTCATTGAAGTCTATTCCTTCTTTCTGAGCATATCCTTTCACCACCAATCTTGCACGATACCGCTCCACTTGATCATTGCCATCACGTTTTATCTTGTAAACCCATTTGTTGCCAATGGCCTTTCTTCCTTGTGGTAGCGGAACAAGATCCCAAGTATTATTCTTGTACAGAGCTTCAATCTCCTCTTGCATTGCTGTCATCCACATAGACACATCTGTGCTTTTAATAGCCTCATGGAAAGTTGATGGCTCTCCATCCTCTGTTAGAAGACAGTATGCAATGTTACTTTCAGTAACATATTCTGAGTACCAAGCCGGTGGTCTTCTTTCACTAGTCGACCGCCGAACTTCAGGAGTTTCAGACTCTATTTGTTCTTGCTCTTCATGCTCTGGTACAACTTCAGAAAAAAGCATGATTCTGAGTATTTTCCACATGGACTGCTGTAGTCTCCTTTAGAATGCTATTATGTTCTTCCATTTGCATTTTACCTTCTGCAAATATGACATCTCTGCTGATCACTACCTTGTGGGCAGTGGGATCCCACAAGCGATACTCCTTCACTCCATCAGCATATCCCAAGAATACACATTTTCTGGATTTTGAATCCAACTTGCTAACTTCTTGTGTATTGTACATCACGTACACAGGACTTCCAAATATATGCAATCAAGAATAATCAGCTGGTTTTCCAGTCCACATCTCCATCGGTGTCTTCAACTCAATTGTGGTTGATGGAGAT